TTTCTTTTTATCTGCAGATATTTTGATATTTGAGAAAAATAATAAATTTTAAGATATGCTGCAGAAAAGATCAGCAAAATAACTGAAAAATCCACAAAATGGTAGAATTGAACCTAATTATTCTAAATAATATACATAGAGGTAACACTGAGGCAACATGATAGCATACAAAGCACTTTTAAATTTGTATTTTTAGAGATAGAAAACTGGAAATACTGCTAGATAGTGATTTTAACAGCGATTTTTGGTCTTTGATGTTATAAAATATTATGAAAGTAAATGATTTTTTAAATTTACTGTCAGTGAATTATTTGAGACGCGCGGAGAGGTATTTGAAACGAATTTTTCGTTTTTCACTTTTGCGAGTGTACATGTAATTATTCATAATACGGCAATTTTGTTTGTTTTCTGGTAATAATCATCCTATCGTTTTGGTTTAATCCTTATAACCGTCATATACAATAGCGGCAATTAATAAACCGTCATTAAAACGTACCGCAAATTTGTGCAATTGAAAGAGTAATTATTTACCTGCGTTATTCACCGGATAAAAATCCGCAAAGTGCTCTAATTAAAACGAAATTATAGCGAATAATTACTTCCTGCCATGCCAGCGTGTTTCGATAATTTTCGACGTACTGTTTATTCCCTGCCCTGCACCGCCATCGCCGTATAATCGCAGATAAACGTTATTAGTTGCGCGCTTTTATCAATTACGGAACGAATTAGACTTCGACAGCGATGGGATACATTTCATCCCATTTACATCTCGTGTGCGTCGAATGCCCAAACTAATTTTGGATATGACAATCCTTGGTGCGACATAGAATCGAAAAGCAATGAAATATATCAATTATTTCTCTTCTCTTTATTTTTTTTTAAGATAAAAGACACTATTATATGTCGAATTGATGCATATTTATTAAAAATATAACATGCATATAAGAAAAATCTCTTTTTGTCAAATGTAAAAAATTTATTGTGTCGTTCTTAAGATTTCTGTCGAAAAAATGAGTATAACGATACAAAAGCCGGGATATTGCGAGAACGAGCGAGGGGGGCGAAAACGGGACGAAAAGACGCGCGAACAAATTCCCGTGCCGGCTAATTAATACCCCGACCACAATGGCGGAAAGCGTCGCGGCTCCTCGGCCTTAAAACCAATTTGTTGCCCGCTCTCGGGCTCCTTGCTTCCCCGTTGGAACGGCGCGACGCGGGCCTGTATTATGCTTAGGGTTCCGCCATTATGTTTCCCCGGTTTTGCCGAAACAATACAGCGTATAAGCGGCCGTCGCGCCACGTCTCGACCGTAATATTACGTCGGCTGATTTATATCGCCCGTTCTGCGACCCTGCCCCGCAACATTACATTCACTCACTAGACGATCAGGATCATTATGACGTAATAAACGTTCGGGACGGACGCCGAAAGAATTCTGCGTATATGGAGGAAGTTTCTCTTCCGCGTGATTCCGTGAGAAAGGAGATTATCGACTCGCTGGATCAACATGTAGATCGTACGCGCGTGAAAGCATTCAAATATTAGGATCATGAGGAACCTAAGTGCCAGATTACGCGTTTATTATTTTAATTGCGATAATATTTCAAACAAAAATGAAATATTTGAGCTATAATATATCATTCTCGCGATACCGTGTTAGAATAATTATTTCTCAAGTGCGTGTGTGTATTTTGCAGGACAATCGCGGAATCGCAATTCGTACATCCGCGCGCTACATCAGATGAATGAACATAAAGTTTTTACGCGGAATAGATCACTTTCAAGCTTCTCCCTGTTAAACGAAAACAAGCATTTGCCGTATCAGAGCTCTCGGTTCTTCTAATATTTCCGCGCAATATCGCAGCCGTCATTTACGAAATAGCTGGATAGTTTGTATAATGCAATGGCGGGACGCGTCTCCGTATATATGCGCAATATCCCTTTACGGAGTTCTTTTACAGACGATGGAAGAGAGTTTCTTTGCGCGGAAAATCGTCGGCCGGTTTCGGTCGAGGCTGTCCCAAATACGATTATCATAATTAATATTTAACGCTTAGAGATTAGTATTAACCTGTGAGATATGTAATAATTAATATAATAAATTAATCGAAATTCCGCATAAATGTGTTTTGAATATGAGCCTTCGCATAGATAATACATTGCATTGCACACAGTAGGATTAATATTATGGATGAGATTCATCGAATGTCAGATGCGTCGATTATACGTTTCTACAATTACTTCGTTAAAATAATGACAATGTGGTATAATTAATAGCAAAGGCACAGTGCTCATACAATTATTTTATTAGCTTAATAATTAATACCTTATCGAAATTCTCGTTAGGTTTATAATATCACGACACTCACAATTTATATAAAAAGAAATACGAAAATAGAAAAAATATTTCCCTTTTAAGAATGAGAATTCGAAATGAGAAGAATTCAATACGCAGATCTGCATTTGACACGAAGTATAACATTCAATCGAACGAACACCGCGATAGCGAGCGCGAGTCGCATGAAAACGGTGTTGTAAATTTTTTTTCTCCTTTTCTCTCGGGATCCTTTTAAACATGTCGCCCGCATTTTCGAAGCCAAATCTCAGATAGATTCGTCAACGGGGCAACGTATACAGACACGGGCGGCCTCGCGCTGCAGTTTTGCACGAGGCTAAACGCGAAATTAAATCCGGCCGTGTAAACGACCGTCATGTATACCCTGCCACCGGTTACAAACGCGAGTCACGAATCCGTAGCACACAGGACGCGCGTCTTTCGCTTTTATTTACGGCTCGCCTGCTCGCACCGCGAAGCCGTCGATTTAATTCCGAAAGTTCCCCGGCGACGACGACGGGATAGAGAACCGCCCCGCCTCGCACGACGCGACACGTGTCCGTAATGTCTGCGTGACACGTGAGACTTCTTGCGTTTTGGTTGCGTCGATATAGTATATTTATTTCTTTGAACAGCAGTGAAAAGAAAGGAATCTCGAAACGAGTTTAATCAGCACTTAGTATTCAATGATATAGGGTCTTTTCTACAATGCATCGCGATTTTTTTGCGAAACATATAATTTCTCTCTCTTTACAGATTCTTCAATTCTATAATTCTTTAAGTCTCTAATCAATATATATTAAGAGATCAGAATAATTTCCAATTTTAGGTGATTTTTATTTTGTCGCAATTTTAATTTATTGAAATTAAAAATTTATCCATATATACAATATAACCTTACAACTTTGATAAATCTTGGTGGTCTTGGTAACATTCGATTAAATTTTTACAAAAAGCTCTTTGAGTTGATCAAAGAATTTCTACGCGAAAATAGAATAGTTTTTATTTACACAGCGCATTTTTTATTCACGTCGGAGAAATGTCACGTCGTATAAACTATAAGCGCGAGACTCGTATCAGGACAAAGATATTAACACGCTGCATGCAACGCGGTGCATTCGTGCGTGCTGCGTGGCCGATTTTTTTCCATTTATTTCCCCTTTTCGTCTTTTCGTCGGGCATTTTTTTTTTTTTTTTTTTACAACCGCTCGCGAGTCGACATCTTTATCGTCGCCGTTATACGAGTTCAATGTACCTTTTGGTTACTACCGCCTCGTGCTGATTAACCCTTTCAACACCGATGACATTGCGCGGAGAGTTGCGCAATTTATGCGCATACATTTCACTTGCGCGCCCGATTTCGCCCGTTTTCTTAGTTATCCCTTATTCTCCTCGAGGTCAGGCACCGAGGAGGAGACGAATGCCATGCGGTAGGGTATGCTTAGCGTGATTAAGGTAAATGAATTCTAGTCGCGTTCCATCACGTAACTTTTGTTGCATGACTGAGCAGACACGCGGTAAACATTAACACATTGTTTGTGTTTATTATTTATACATGTATGTGTTATGTATATTTATTAATTTATATATGTATTATATATGTATTTATTATTTGATAAACCAATGTGAATACATTGTTTGAAATATTATTCAAACGTTCCAATGTATAGGGAACAGTTGCAAAAACATTTACCATTAAACATTTACCATGAAATTATCAAATTTCATTTTAATGGAAATAGAAATTTGCGACTTGCAACGTTCAACGAAAATTTCTATCTCGATTTATCGTCTCTTTGAAATAAACTTTGCTCGCTCTGCATAAAAATTCTTTTTTAATGATAATATTAATGAAACGAGTAATATGTCACAGAAATTAATTTTCTATTGATAATTTTAGTAACTTTTGTTTAAACATTATCAAGATTGACCAAACACTATCTGTTAATAAATACAGTATCTAAATGTCGCGAGGGAGAAATGATTCATTTTTATTAATACAGCGCAAGGTTGAGACGCGCATTTCCATACGAAACACGCACCACTCACTTTTATACGTTGCGTGACTAATTCATTATACGTACCCTAACTAACACTCCGCATAGTCCGAATAATCTTACTTGTTTTAACACACTGGTTCACCCTTTCTTTCCCTCTTTGATATTTTTCCTACGTATTTTTGCTACGGCTACCAGGTCATTTACGATTCTTTTGTGCGTGGAAAAAAAGATCACTCGAACGAATTGCCCGAGAAAACGTTTCACGATATTAGACTTCAGATAGCATTGTTGGCGAAGAGTATTATCTTAAAAATAGCATAATAATAGATTAGCTACAAACAAAAAACGAGTTGCCGAGTTTCACGAATATCAGTAGTATTTATTATATCAAATAAATAATTTAGATATACGTTTTTTGGAATTTGGATATTTCCATGTTCTGTATATATAATTAGAAAATTTCTCTATAATATTAAAAGTAATAATTTTAGATCTTAAAAAAGTATATTAGTGTAATATATATTCCGCTTTTTTAAGTAATGTTTTTTCTTTAACAGCATCAACTCTCCAGTAAATTTGATGATCGCGAGTTTATTGCGAAAAACCTTTATTTATCGTCGCATATTTGTCTCAATTTTCATTGGTATCCTACTTTTTTGTTGCAGCTTGGTTTCTTCACGTACTACACAGTGGCGATGGGTGAGGTAAATCCCTCCGGGCCGGTGCCGATCGACAGTGTCTTCATTTACAGACCGGACAAGCGGCTCGAACTCTGGAGGTTCGCCTTCTACATGTTTCTACATGCTGGGTGAGTCTCGTGATTTTATCTATCAACATACGATCGGTATTTGCGCATATTCCCCGCTCTTTTTTTTTCTATGATTCTCACAATTCTCGCGATTCAGCTGTTTGCGTAATTGCAAGCGTGTCTCTCTCTCGCGAATATACACGCATTTAAACGGATATATTTGTGGTGTCACGTCTCGATAATATCGGATCTCTCGATCGGATCTCTCAATGTCGCGTTATCCTCGTGCCCCGCCAGAACACACCTGCAATTTGATTCTCTCTTTGCTTCGTGATATGCAAGTGCATCGTTAATTTTCTCTACCATCCACAGAGAGAGAGAGAGAGAGAGAGAGAGAGAAAGAGAGAGAAACGCCAATGTAATTCGAGCACACGTTTGCTTTTATATCACATACCGATGCAACTTTATATAACATCCCAAACCAACGTTTTTCACGCTAATGGATACAAAAGCAAATCTGCGTCAGTGTGCATTCAAGTTATCGAGGATGTCGCAGACGAATTCGCGGCTAGAAAAATACGAAAGAGAGAGAGAGAGAGAGAGGGAGGGAGAGAGAAAGAACCGAGAGCGAGTCGATAAAAGCGTCATGAAACTTTGGAGCGAAAACGACCATCAGGAACGCATTTTTCGTATCCTCCGAAAATTGCATTCACCAAACAATTTTGACTCCCGATTATCTCGAATAAAAGTATCTAAACCATACAAACACAGGTTCCATTATTTTATAAACGCGTTATTGCTGTTACGCCGGCGATGAATAATAAAACTAAATTTAAACGAATACCATTTGTTTTTTGTGATGTTGCATCGCGACATTGTCATATCATATTCGCAGTAATACGAGAGAATATTGAGAGATGATTGTAATATTGGCAGAAAAAAAGCGATTGTGAGACCGAAACTCCTAAATCGACAATAGCGTCGCGGCGCGAATTATTACGATTACGGCAGCTCAAAAAAGGGATGAAGATAAACCACGTCCCCGCCGTGCTTTTCGCTTCCTTCTTTCGCTGGACTTGCAGAATCAACCTACCGCATACGTTTCGTGCGAGCTCTGCGAATTTAGCTCAGCACAATTTTACTGTTCAGAAAAGATATGCAATATGCTTTTTACGTTTTATCAACAACAGAAAACGCACAGATCGCAATCATTTCTGAATTTAGCGAAATATCTGGGGAGAAAGAAAAGCTCTAAGAAAAATGTAAAGGAAAATAATATAAATATGTAATAAAATAGTAGCTGAAGAAAATGAAATGTGTATTATCAGACAGATTTGGAAGTTTTTACGTATCCTGTTATCGATAAGAAACACATCTCTTTGCATGTAAAATATCGAGTTGCCACCGTGCGACATGTTGACACGATATGGAAGGTGACTCGACAAAATCTTTAAAACAAATATCTCAATATTTTAGAAATATTTTTGAAGAAAATTTAATATATAAAATGATTATTGATACATCTATTTTCTTTTCTTCTTCTTTGAAAATGTATCTATGACAACAGAAGAAAAACTACAGAATGTAAGATACTCGCGTGCGCGTGAAGACCTGTCGGGACGAAAAAGATGCAACCTTGCGTATCCGCGATCAATCTGCATTTATTTATGTTATGCATTAAGTCACTAATTATAACTAATTATAGTAATTGCGATCCTTATGACTGCGTATCGTGTTGTCGCATCCTTTTGCTTGAATCGTCACATCAATTCAATTCGAATGGTGCCACACGGGAAACAAAATTGTATAAGCGTTCTGACACGCGTTAGTCGCCCACGCCGCGTAGAAAAGCAGGGAGCGCAGGGAGAAGGTGGCGGCTTTCTTCGCTCGCAGCTATTTTTCCACCGTGTCTTTTGCTTTCGTTTTCTTTCCTCTCGTTCCCTCCAATTGTTTTTGTGTCTTCCTCTCCTCTCTGTTCTCTCGAACGACTTTTTTTGCTCTTCTCTTGGCTTCTCTTCTCCTGTCCCTGACATATTCCTCTGGACGCATCAACGTTTCTATATCCTCTCCCTTTTGCCATGAGAAGAAAGAAGATCGAGAGAGAGAGAGATCGTACGGACGACTCCGTATTCTGTCTCTTTCTCTCTCTATCGTCGACAGAATAGAAGTTTTCAGCGCGTGAAGATCTCTAAATTATTCATGGAAACGCCAGATAAGACGTCCGTTTTCCGTACGTGCGTATGGAAACGGCGATAAGAGTGACCTCACCGTTGTTTTCCTTGCTATTGAAAGCGTGCGTTCGCTCTACCTTCTTCTTTCATCCTCTTCCTTCTTTTCTACTATTCTTTTTTACTCTCCCTCATTTCACTTCTGATATTAGGCACTCCTTGTTTAACCACCGTTCCTTTTATCTTTTATCTCTCTTTGCATTCTGCACGTCGCACTTATCCTTGCTTTATCTTTCCCCGTGTTGCTTTTCTGTAAATTTGTAGATCGGTACTGTTATAACGTTTCTTTTAACCTTCCTCTTTTTCCTCACTTGATGGTACTAATCTTGCTGTTTATTATTCATCTTTTTATTACTTATATGTAATTTGTCTATCCTAACAGTCCTTTGTGAGGCTGCTTAGTGGTACTTAATACCTGCTATAGTATTGCACCGTTACATCATTTTACTAGCTGTTGCAGTTATATATTGTTCCAACGGGACTTGAGTCGCGGACTGTAATATCTCGTTCGTTTCTCCTTCTCCCCTTCTTCTTTTCTTTCCTTAAACTTCTATCCGCGATTCGCTGCATCTTTGTCTTCCTTTTTACCGGTTTACTTCTTTCGTCGATTCGCACTCTCGCGGCTGTTGGATTATTAATGCGAGCAACGCCCCGTGCGCGTCCATCAAAAGTCATTTCTCCGAGTATTTCTACGTGATCTCGAAAGAGCTCAAGAGCGTGGTAAGATTATACGTGATAACGCGCGCGGGTATAAGTCGAAGATAAATTTCGTAGAAGCTGATGAATTCGTTCGAGGGACGGATCTCCGGGGAAGATACTCCACGCGCGTCTATTAGGTAGATACGTTTTAAAACTGCGTCTTGTGTAAGCCGTATATCGCGGCAAGGAATAAGGATAATAAAGCAAGCAATTTTTTTAAATTTACGCTTGCGTTATCGACACACGTCAGTGATCTCTCGAATCGGCCACGTACGCGCGAGCAGTACAGGTCGGTTACACTAATTGGTATAAATCGGGGTTATGATAAGCGGTATAATGCATCAGCGGTGACACACGAGCTGCCAGGAGAGACCAAAAGCGCGATCCATAATCGACGAGTAAAAAGCCTGACGCTTCAGCCGGGCGACAGGCGATTAATTATAAAAACAAGATGGCCCGCGCTATCGAGCGCCTTTTTCCGTCTCCGCGTAACGCCCGTTACCTCCGCCAGATGTTATCGAGCTTCCTCCGTTATTAATGTGAAAACTGTCTTTGCCGCCGTGCTCTCCGGAGTCGCCGTCTCCGTCCTATTTCTCCGTCTCCTTCGCTCTCCCCCTTCCACCGCGTTCGCGCGGCGGTGCCCGTGAGAAAGCCGGAAGCGCGGAAAAATCGAGACAATCGCCGTAATTGCGGGAAGTCAACGCGCGTGGCAGCGTTGTCGGAGCAGACACAATGGTATCGCCGAGTCCGCAGAATACGAGCCGCACCGAAAAGATCGTGTCGCTCGAGACAGGACACGCTTCCGTATTTCGTCGTCCGTGGTATATCGATTCGTGCGAATCAAGCTTGAATTCACGAGGACGCTTTGTTGCTCCCGAATTGTCACCGGACACGCTCGTCTATGTCCGAAAAAACGCGGATCGCAAGAATCCGGCAATGAAGGATTTTTATTTTCCTTCGGTAAATAGCATGTTAAGCTTTCGTAAAACGGATATCAATGCATGTACATAGTATATCGGTATTATAATTATATTGATGTAAAGTCATCGAACTTTGGTAATTATATAAAGGAAGAGCCAAATTAAAGATATATATAAGTAATTTAAATAACATGTATTGGTCTTACATTTATTTATTTATGTATTAAATTTAGTTAATTTAAAATGTAACTAAAACCTCTGTCTCTTTCTCTCTCTCTTTATCTTCTCTATTGGCATCCATGAAGAAAAAATTGAATAATGTCTACTTTAATCAATGTACTAAATGCTTTACAACAAAATCTACATACTGCTACTATAGCGATGCAACACGCAGATGGAAAATAATGCGCCGTCTTCTTCGTGAGAACGCTCGCCGAGAACGTGGCATCTTTCGGGCTTCGTAAATCATGCCAAAGTTCCTCACCGTGAAGAAGGAAAAAAAAAATACGGCCGAATCTCTCGACTCGTAACTCAATTTAAATAACGATGTCCACCATCCCATCGCTTTTATAAGCCCTCGTCACTCGCGCGCTGCCGATGTGGCATTATGCATGCGCGACGAGCGCGGTGACACACCATTATGCCGCGAGTCCTTTTAATGTCGCATAAATGCGCCGGAGGCTGTGTGCTCCTTAATATCGCCGAGAGCGGGCGATATTCCTCACCCCTCGCGACGCGCGCCACGTGGACCGAAACTTTCGCCAGCCCGTCCTCCGCGAGAATGAAAATTCTCGTGGAAGGTTGCCAAACAAATTGCACACGCGATTACATTCAGTCTTCTCTCCCAAAAGCGATCATTGCGATCATATCGCAATTAGTTACTACAGAAATGAATCGATAATATACATATATGTACCCTCCAACGAAAATTTCGATAATGACATCTCGATAATTTGAATCCCTAAAAAAGAATAAAGTTTACTCAAATAGAAAAAAAAAACGATGATAAGGTACTTATTAATCTCACGTCGGAGATTCAATCTGCCAAACTCCCTTTTACATTTGATCACTTATATAACTCGAGAACTGTCAGCGCCACGACAAGTTACGGAGAGATTGACGCCGAGTTGGTCAAAGAATCTGTCGATAGAATTAAAGTGGAGATTTCCCCGAGACAAACTCACCGACTGCTGAGACATCACTGTCGACTGGCTCGTCCACGCTTTCGTAAGTAAGAAGTTTTCGGCGCGTAATTAACTACTAGCAAGTAGTTAGAGGCGCTGACGAAACCACTTGTGCCCGTGGAACATTAGAGTCAACTTGCTTGGGAAACTTTATCCCCTCGTTCTCGCTTCATACGAAGTTACCAACACCGACTGTGTTCGATAATACTTCTGATCCGCTCACATAACCCCGGTTCCCCGCGAGTTATCACGAATAGTCGAATTAAACGTGGCTGTTAGATACGTTGAGACGTTATTTTGTTGTTTTGTTGCCTAAAGTGCTCCGTCGTTATCTTAAATTTTAATTTCTTTCAGAATGATTTAATTCTTTTTTTTTCTTTGATCTCTGTGAATATGAAGTCGATACTTTTCTTACTGAAAATTTCAAAGTATGCTTAATGGGAACTTGGACGTCTATCACGGAATTTCCTTTTAAAATTTACCCGAAAATTTTGTCAATCGTAGGACAGCATAGTATTTCGACAAATTTTACTGTATACTACAATAAATTTTACTATGTTACTAAATTTGTTGTAGTATATATTTAAAAAAATAGTAAAAATTGTATAAAATTTGTCAAAGTACCACGTAGTCCTATACAAATAAAAAATAAATTTTAATCTAAAATTCTGTGATAGACGTCTTCGACTTTACAAGCATTTCTTAAGCAATCTTAAAAGTTCTTCTAATTCGAGCAAAGTACATTTAGAATTAAATGAAAAGTACTTTAGATATTTAAACCGATCGCAGTGCATCCTTAGAATACTATTCATTATTTTTGGGATAGGCAATCTATGAATAGCTATCGATCGCATTGTGATTCATCGTAAGTGCGCAATCGTCGAAATTGGAAGCCCGTCGGTCCTTCTCTTTACCCGGACGACACGACGAAAACGATAAAACGAATAGATTCCCGTCGTAGGAGGCCGGTTACCGTCATTCGTATTCGTCGAATGGAAATTCGGTCCTCAAACGACACCGCCTCCTCCCGTCGTGGACCAAAACAGATGGCTAAGGAAAAAGCTGGGGCGGATAGGGGAATCATACTCGCGCGAAAACCGAGAAATCCATCGTAATTCGTCCGCCGTTCATGCCCGAGATTCATTTAATTGGTATCCAATTAACCGAAATTGGTGCGGTCTGAGAACCTTATCGTGACTCGAATGTCTTGGAAGCAGATTTTGCTGATTGCGAGAGGTACGGGCCATTGTTCAATGGCAGACGCTGTTTTATCGAACATGTCGCCGGGGTATGCATATTGATTACGTTGAAGCGTTAATTTATGCGGTTGGTATGCCATCCCTCTTATTTATACATATGTATTGATAAAGCTCCGCAATATTTATTAAATACACAAATAATATTTAAGTAGAAGCATATTACTGATTTAAATCATTAATTTTCTAAAATTATTGGCAATTGTATAAAATTATTGGTCACATAGCGTTGATATGACAAATTCCTATCTTTTCTTACAATAGCAATGAATTTTAACAAAAACATACCAATTAATTATAAATTCTGTCTCGAATTGATAACATTTTAACGAATTGATAACAATTAAATTATCAGAAGTTTCGAATATTTTTCACATCGGGCATGTAAAGTGAAAATAAATATTTAGAGAGAACTTACGAATGGAAAATTGAAAAAGTCGTGCAGTGCAAAAGTCCAGTCGAAGTTCCATCGGCGGAGTAGCATCGAGGGTAAAGCCGAAAATTTATGAACCCGCCCTCCCACGTTCGGGCGCGACGCGACGCCTCCTTACGCGCGTTCCATTCCGATGATTGCATTCTGAAAACGTATCGACGCCTATACATCACGTCTGTCCCGACGCGGCGGCGACCTCCGGTTTTCCGCCCCCGCGATCGTGGCATTGCCATTTGCATTCGCGCGGCAACGAGGCGGCAAGAAACCCGTTGGAATTCCGAGCGTTGATTTAATTCTGACCTAATCACGATTGCGCCTCGCTTCCCTCCTCCCTCTCCCCTTCTCTTTCCCCCCTCGCCCCATAGATCGACTTCGTTCCTTGGTATAATGGCGACGACCGCAGGGACCCCCAAGATCGTGGCATCCATTTCTGTCCGATGAGGTCCGACGGTGATCGGCGACGCGCTTGCGAGCGACGCTCGAGCGTTTCAACGATCGCATTCTTTCCGTTTGACCGCATTGCGACAGGGCGCACGACGACTATTAGACTCGTAGTCGATGCAAATTGGTCGCTTCCTAGGCGCACGTCGCGGCTACGGGACTACGGTATACGCAGGCTAATTGCGGCCCGATCGTGCCCTGGTGCAAAGAGACATCTACGGAATCGTGTTTCTTTCTCTTTTAAATCGAAGCTTGCTCCACAAGGAAAAATCCAATGGCCGCAAAAAATTCACGTCATTATGAAGACATGTTTAAATTAAGCGAGATACCTATCAGGATCTATCACGAATTGAATAAAGTGCTACTACTTTATGGTTCAATGTTTTTTTTTTAGTAAATGTCTCTTGTATCATTTTTGTTCTGCGACATATTAAAAAATTCGATAGAATCAAAGATAAGACAAAAGCAGTGAGATAGGAATCTTTTGTAAATTAAACATTTAAAAAGCTAAAATGACATTTAATGAGTAAATTTAGAAGTAGAAGAAATACAATTCATTCTCTTTATATATAGGACTCTAAAAAGAGATTAAATAATTCTTATAAGGGAATGAAATCTTTCTCAAGAAAAATTATAAAAATATAATATGCTCCTTTAGATAAGAATCGGGTTCTTTATTATGATATAATCAAGCTGTTATATTACAGTAGAATTATTTGTACTATATAATAAAAGATAATAATGCAGCATTTGTCACGCTCGTTCTCACGACAGCCTAGATCTCGCGACTGTGTCAACTGTGGAATCGCTCTCCGAGATTTTCCACGCTCTCGAGCATGCGACACGATAGATAAGAAGAACGATCATTCTCCGAGCTTAGAAAGTTTCTCCTCTTACTTCGAGATAATATTCATAATTGCTCTACAGTCCCTTTCTTCGCGGAGTTTTCTTTCGCCGATAGCCACGGCTGGTCGGCCAAAGCTCAACGTCTCGATCGTATCATATATCCTCCCTCTTATCGTTCGCGTTGGTTTCGTTCCAGCCGGGCTGCCGAATTCCCCCGAAATCCCACCGGCTTCGGTACTAATCTCGACCCAATGACGCCGAGATATACCTCGTGGCGTAAACGTTTACTTCCCTTCGTTTTATTCGCATTTCGCGGTATTTTATATGAAACTGCGAAACTAGCGGCGTTTCCTGCGAGATTTATTGTTACCTCCGTCTGACATCGCGTCCGCGCTCGCGCGCGAGATGTAATAATTAGTCGGCCGAAGTTTCGCGATAACGGCAGGGTATCGGATTTTCGTGCTTCTGCGGCCCAGAAGTCGCTGATAAAACTTTCCTCCGACCGTGGCTGGTATCTCGCAATTATTTCACTCCGCGGCGCTCTTCTCCCCCCCCCCTCCTTCTCCCCGTAACCTTTCTCGGCGGCACTCTTGTCGAAACGACGCCGCGAGCGAATAAGAATATTGTTTGGCCGCGATCCACTCCTTCTCCGCCTCGTCCGCAGTAGAGAGGCACAATTACCGTAATTCTCTTGGCCGCGCCGATAGTCACGAACCGCCTGCGCGGAGCTTACCGCGAATCGCACTCTCATCGCATTTTCGACTTTTCCCCCCGGCGCCCTGGACTTCCCCGTCGCCGAGTCTTATCTGCCGCGACGAGAGGAACCTCGCTAACGAGATGTTCCTAATTAAAACTATAACCAACTGCCCGCGGCGTTATAATTCACGATTAACGACAACCTCTCCTTTCTCGGATCTACATCGCGAACTTCCAAGATCTTCGACGGTTGAAGTTGTTATACCGACGACGCGACGTGTTAACTTGGATTTCGCGGTTAAACTGTGCGATGGTGAAAGAGAGAGTTTCCTGTACCTAATTATTTTATAATACAGCGATTGCAATATCGATGTCAATGACCGCAATACTTCGCGTCGATATGATTATCGTTTTTTTTTTTAATAATTTTACAATAATTATAATTATTAAATAGGTGATTTTTATTTTTAACGACTCTATGATAATTGTTGCATTTATATTTGGAAAAAGATATTTAATTGCATTGACTGTAGCGTCATACACAGTTGCTGCAATTGAGCCTCCACAATAATGGAGTACGCCATAGACGTTGCCATAAAGCTTGCTTATACGCATGCAAATTATGCCGTAATTGAATTAAATTCCCGGAGCATCTCGTGCTCCAGCAGAACAATTGACATGCCTTGGTAATTTACCGCGCGGTTACATTTTTTTTCAGGTGGCTTCACCTGCTGTTTAACCTGGGGGTACAGGTGGTCGTGGGACTTCCCTTGGAAATGGTTCACGGAAGCCTGAGGATCGCCGCGGTTTACATGGCCGGGGTTCTTGCCGGTGAGTAATGTCGTCTGCAATGTGAATTATGTCATGGTGCATCTACGATTTATGCATCTACGTTAATGCTCGTTTAACCTTCGCGTTTCGCCGTGCATCAAGTTAAGGCAAACAAAATTCTGGCTCGAAATAATTATTAAGTTTTAAAAGCTACCTCGTATCTATTTACTAGAAGCCACGTCATCTAAAAAAAAAAAGTTACACAAATCTTATAATTTTCCATGTATTCCATTGTTGAAATATTTTATTCTTTATCCAGTTAATTATATTGCACTTTTTAATGAAACGTGTTGAAGAGATTTTATTATAGAACAAAATGCGCCCGTATCTTTCGTTATATTCTTTCTTTATATATCTTTCGTTATATTTTAATTTTTTTAATTATTCAATTCATTTCTATTTTATGTTACATGACAATCAGTTGACAGTTGCAATCCATTCTTTTTTTATATCTCTATTCCTCTTTTGTAGCTTTAAATTTTCCTCTACTGGATGTATTTTTGTTCAATTTGAAAATTACTGAGATTGTAAATGTGTATATAAATACAAGTCAGAATATATCACGAAACGCGAACACCATAACTGCAGTCCAAAATGTCCAAGATATACAGAGCGCTAATTATTCGAACATATGCTTCCTGCTATGTAACGACGCGTTTTAATTAAAATTCGTTAATGTTAATATAAGTACACTGACAGCTGGATAATGAAACTGCGCGCTTTTCGTTCGTAATTTTGTGCATTTTCCAAATAATTGTAGTAACCTGATCTCTCGAATGTTTTTTGTCGGTGACAAGCTGAATTTTTTAGAAATTATCACAGCAAACAAGAAAATTTTTCACCTAACATTTCCTTTATTATACCTTGTTATACGTGTATATTATTTAAGAATTTGAAGTCATAATACTGTTGCTTATGTTCCCTTTTTAACCGATTTCCGTGCGAAACATTTTTGCATATTTATCAAGACAACAAAGGCAAGGGCCGAGTAATTCCGGTAAATTGTTCCATCCCGCTGTATATGTACGAAATGTGTACACAAGGATAGCATGCGCGGGCAAACGTATACATCTAATTGTCATTTGCATAAATTCGATTAGACGCAGATCCCGAGTTATTAGCGGTCATGAAAGTAAAACGTGGCAAAATGGAGCACATGAATAATTAACTCCAGCCGGACGGGGGGACAAAGAGGATTCAGGAATTAGATAGACGAGGTATACGGAGGCTATAGGAATTTCAAAGCAGTAGCGCGGCGACGTTACTATTAGTGAATTAGCGAGAATGCGGGCGGCGTGTGTTTTTTCTTTTATACATTCATGTTTATACATTATTGCAATACCAGTACAAAATGCCGAGAAAATTGTGCGTTGCAGGTGCAAAGCGATGTATGTAAATAAAGGTGTATAAAGGTATAGTCTTGAAGATGAAACTCCGGAGGAATTTGCGTGTAAAAAGTATATCGCAATCATAAATATACGAAGTGAAAAAAAAAATAAGTTAAGCGATATGCTCGAAATAGATGCAATAAATCGTTTATGCACACTGCAAAAGCGGCAAAAGAAGCACGAAGACTGCGAAAGTGGAAAGGATGTTCCCTCGTGCTTTTCACACCGCTACAATTTACGATAGAGGCATCAAGCTCCTCTGTATGTTATCGACTGCCATCTCTCCGCCTCTCTCTCTCTCTCTCTCTCTCTCTCTCTCTCTCGATTTCATATCTCTTGATATTTCCCGATTGCGCATTTCCAACTGTCTTTGTCTAACCGTTTTATCCTGGTTTTCTCATTCCCATTTACGCGCGCGCACGAGCGTGGTGGCGTATCTCCGTCTCTGTTCGTCTAAAGTCACCCGCAAGAATGCGCCGCGGCGACAGCTTGTCTGGGCCCACCGCGACGAGATTACTTCGTATGCATCGCGGTCGCGACGATGTAATGCGATTGCAACGACGCAAGTGCAACGGCACCAACATTCCCCGTCCCTCCTCGCCCACATCGCGGCGACACTTCACCACCGTCGCGCGCCTCGCATCGCCCGGCTCTTCTTCCTGCGACTGGCCGAGTCTTTAACATTCATCAAATTGTATGGCGATGGACAAACTCGATTAATCTTGGACACTTTAAACTCTTCTTTTTCTTGTAAAAAAATTGAAAAAAATGTAAAGATGCAACGATTTTGCAACGATCTTAAGTATCGCTACTTGTTTAAATGAATTATATGACGATTCTGAAGAATATATCAAGAATATTAATTCGTGTTTATATTAATGTTTTTGAGTTTATTGTCAAGATTTTATAATATACATGTATTATTATAACGTTTAGAATTATTATTACAGTTGCTTCATGTTTTTAAATAAAAAATAATGTTCATCGTGTTCATATTATTTGGAATTCAAACTACATTTTTATTCTCATTCCAGAGTTAATATAATCAGCCATTCGTTATATATTGCTGCAATCATGTACGTTCAAATACATTTTATTGTTACAAAATAGCGAAAATACGTGCTATATTGCATAATATTAATATTTCGTAATATTGAAGAAAAAAAAAGAGGAAAAAACTGCTGAAACGTAATCGTCGAACTAATAAAGTGCGCGTAAATCAACGTTTTAAATTATGCGGTCGGTGCACCACATGAGTGTAAATTATCCTCAGTGCGGCGTGAAACCGGGGGTAGCTTATAAATGCACTTCTCTGGGGTGGCGCGGATTAATGTCGTTTACGACATCGTCGCGCTTATTGCTGGCTGTACTCCCTGTCCTCCCTATTGCTCGAGCGTTTCCACTTGGAAATTTGGATGTTGGAGTGAATAGCACTGCTATACAGAGATTTGCCGTCGTATGGACTTTGCAAAATAAATGATTTAGCTTGTCATATATAAATGACTTGTATTGATAAAAATATGTATACATATGCGTTTATTTTATCAAAAATTTTATTTTTTCTAATGCCGAGAATGAGAATAGATAATCTGAATTAAAACTGCTTGGGCGTTTGTAATATATAAGATACAGATACTTAAGTGTGAAAAAAATTTTTATTTTTATTTTTTAATTATGCGAAACCATATGTAATTATTTAGAGAAAGAGGGAGAGAGAGAGAGAGAAAGAGAGAGAAGATTCATTTATCTTATTTAAAACTCTTTTACGTTAATTATCAAAAAACCGTGTTGTATCTCAATAGTAGTAAATATTTAGCTTTATCGTTAAACGTTTAATAAGTTACCTGCAGTGACCCCTGGAAAGATTAAACTCGCGAACAATGAGCGTTCAATATCATCAATCTATCGGAATAGCGAGTCGTTTATTCTTATTAATTCCGTCTCGTCGATTTCGTGCGACATGCTCGCCATACCGTTCGCGAGATTTCTTTTTTTTATCGTTAACGAACGTTTCCCGATATACAGTTTTTTGCTAGGGAACGGATACGGCTTCGTGTCAAAGCGCCGTTGTCATTGTCGTCGTCGTCATCATCATCATCGTCGTCATCGTCATCGTCGTCGTCGTCATCGTCGTCGTCGTCGTCGTCGTCGTCGTCGTCGTCGTTGTCGCCATCCTCGTCGCCGTCGCCATCGCCGTCGTCGCGGCGCTGTCGAGTCGATTGCGTGACATCAGCAATTATACGACGGTATTTGCATGTCGTACGACGCGCCTCGTCGTTCGTATGCACGACTGCGTGTGGCCAGTCCCCGGCGCATTAACTCGACTCGAAGATAGCCGGCGACGACAACGACGATAGTGCACTCGGGCACCCTCCCCCCCTGACTCCGAGAGTCGATACTTTAAGTTTTTTTCTTTTCCTTTTTTTTTCGCGCGCCTTTAACTTTCCTTTCAGCACGAGATCGCGTTGTCCCGACTCGTTAGAGTCTCTATCCACTTATTTCTTTCGATCATCCCGGAAACAACGGGAGCTTGATGACCAAGGGAAACTTTAAATTGGACGAAACGCTACGCGCGGATGCCAAGGCTATGAGAAAATCTCATTGAATTATTGTTATTGATGATAATTTTATTTGTATCTTTTCGCATCATATTATTGATTTTTTTATTTTTCTTATATTTTTAAGCACGTGTATGTGTACATATACATACCTATATTTATGTACACACAATCTATATATCTTCAATGTTTTTGTTTTTTTTTTCGAAATGGACATAACTTCAACAGCCAATTTTGCCGATATCAGTGAATTGCAATTTACCCCGTTTGGAGAACGATGCGCGCGATACGTGGTTTCTGGCGAAGTCTGGCATCACGCTAATTCGCGAAAGAGTGCAATGACCAGTTTTACTGGAAATGGAAAAAAAAATGAGTAGAGGACACGATGGGGTGGCGGCAGTAAAAGCCGTTTACACTACATTTTAATCGCGAGGAATCCAAGCGCGCTTTGTGCGACCATTGATGTACGGTTCCGCTCTTCTTGCTTGCCACCTTTTTGTGTATGCGTGCAAATACGCTGTGTGTACGCGCGCACGCGCGTATGTTGTGTGCGTGTATGTGTGTGCCACTGTGTGTTTTTCTCCACCCCTCTTCGCCCGTTTTAATATTTTCAGCGCAAAAACCCCGGCGGACACGGCCTGCCGCCATTGCGTCAAAGGGATATTAAAACAACGGGACGAAATGCGGGATGTACAAAATGTTGATACTGGACGAACTCCTCGCTTTCGATCCGAATTTTGCGTGTCGATGATCGCGCTCAGAATGCCGAAAGTTTCGTAAAAATGCGCGCGCGTAGAGGGAAAGAGAGAGG